TAGGAAAAAAAAAATAATAAAAAAATAAAGTTGTTTTCCAGCTAAGATTATATTATGATAATACTACTACATGGCTAAGTGGCTACATGTGCAGTGTAACAGACATTCGAATGGAAAATGAACTTGGAAAGCAAAGTTTAAATTCTGGTCTAGTTTGTTTTCTTCAGTTTGTGAAAAGCATGAATGCATTTCTTCTCCCCAGCTATGGATTAAATAGCAGAATAGACTGGGCTGTCTAATTTTGGCAGACTGTTTAATAGAAAGAAAAGTCAGAATTTCAATGCAACAGAAAACTATTCCACTATCTTTCCCACAAATGTATGGCAATTCACAGATAAAATCAAAACTCATAATTGCATCCATCCTGAAGGGATAAAGTATTGTAATAATAATAATAATAAATTAAAACATTCACCAGGGAGGCCATACCCTCTATGAAAACAAACATTAAAAATATTAGCTTTTACCTCAGCCCAAGCACTAAATTATATATTTTTAGCAGTGTGTGCATAGGTAACACCTTTTTCAGGAGGTGATGGGTAGACATAGTGTGTAAAATGAATAAATCCATGTACAAAGAGGTGCTGAAAAGTTATTGAGCCAAACAGTTTACTGTATCAAAGCAAATAGATTTTTTAATCTTTTTTTTTGAAGGGCTCAAAAGGATTCAACTGTTCAAACAATGTTGGGTCCATTTTGACAACCCATCGTGTTTTCTTGCTTCTTTTTATCCATGTTTTAGGTTTGGGGAATCAAATTACCAATATTTTCAAGATATCAAATGCCTTTTTTTTTTTTTTTTTTTTTTAAATTAACCACAATTATCAACTCCATGATTTTTTTTTTCTTCCCCAACATAGAAAAGTCCTACATTGCATCTACAATGCTTAGACTAACATAAAAGGAATGTATTTACATTATTTGGACTATTGTTCTCATCTTTATTGCCATCTTCACGTTTTGGCTGTTGTACACTCCAGCCTTCTTCAGGTGGTTGGAATTTTGAACTGAACCCTTTATTTTGTCCACAAGTGTAGATTGTTCTAGTTGCACGTGCCATGCCTCTTCTGGATGTGTCTAACTCAACTCTCCAAGGTTTTATTCACCACTGCAGAGGAACAGCATATGGAACTAGAACAATCTACCCTGGTGGATGAAATAAATGGTTCAGTTCAAAGTTTCAATTACCTGAAGAAGGCCGAGTGTACAATGGCTGAAACGTCATGAATATGGCAAAGTTGGGGAGAATAGTCTGAGCAATGTAAATAATTACAATAAAAAATCTCAGAAATATAAACAAATATAAAAGGGATGTACCTCTTATAAGGGTGTCCAGGAAATAATGATAGATTTTTGGGGCACAGGCAGAGATAAAATAGTAATCTTATAGGAGTTCAAATTTGGTTGAAAAGATACTAAAAGCAAATGAAACTATGCATTTGGTTAAAGAATGGTTCCAGTTTATACAGTTCAGGATTAGTTCATTTCAAATGCTTTTCTGAAGAGGATTCTCTTAAAAGACGCTCTGTGAACGTGTGCAGGAAAAAAAAAAGAAAACTTTTAATGATGAAAATGTGTAAACAACAATGACTTAATTTTTATTTTAAATTGTTACATGCCAGAGTGAAAAAGGATTTGCTTTTTTTCTACAAAAAATTATTTACTAAAGAATGTGAACCCATATTTGGGCAGGTAACCATATATTTCTAAAAGAAAGAATTAATGGAATTATTTGAGAGAGTTATTACTTCAAAAGTTATTCTAGTGGATATTCAGATTTTGAAATTTTTATTTAAAATGGTGTAGTGACAGGGTATATGTAAACATAAAAGTGAACACTGAAGTCAATACTGAGCAGCCACAGTCTGTTTAAGGATTGAACAATCTTCAGGTCATGGATCTCACTTTCCCCAATAATCACAGTCTTTCCTCTCTCATGGCCTGAAGATTGCATTCAAACACAAAAATTGTTGGCACTCAATTGCCTCAGTGTCCACATGCGCGCGTGCGTGTGTGATGTAAGTGAGTAAAAAGAAAGACATCATTCTGATATATCAACAAAAGGTTCTGGTAAATCTAAATTTATTTAAAAAACATTGACCTTAATAAATAATCACTAATGTATAAAACATAAGTAAAGTTAATTTACATTTTTTTACAGATTTTAATACAACGAAAAGAAAAGAAAAAAAGTTGTCAATGGAAAAGAGAAAGAATCTGAAAGCATAAGGACTTCTGACTCGAGCAAAAACTTTCAACTTTCCAAATTAGCAAAGGCCTCATCAACTGGTCAAATGACATTTAATAACGCCTGCAGAAATAATTGAATGAGAAAGTGCTCTTTAAAGTCTTTGATTCTGTTTCTGGTGAGAAAGCATCACCAACATAAGAAACTTGTTTAAGATTTGTATTTATTTATTCCATTTGATATCTAAAAAATGTGACACTGCAAAGCATCTTGCAGCAGGTATATTGCATGCAGGCTTGTCTTGATCAGAGAAACAATTGTCTCTTCAGATTAAAAGAGAAGTCAAAGGTCAAGAGAATCTCTTCACTAACAGATGAGCAACCCCCACCCACTAGTGAGTGAGAAACTGGCTCATCCATTGAAAAACCTTGTAATAGTAGTAGTAGTAGCAGCAGCAGCAGCAGTGGTGGTGGTGTGCAGTTATCTATTAATTTGCAAAGTTTAAATGTTACAATATCTAGAAGGGGGGGGTGACAGAAGTTAAGGAGGTAGGTGGGAGTGGAGACAATGGGGGAAAAAAAAACAAAAAAAAACAAAAAAAACCTATAAAACAAGTTCCAGTGGAAGGGGGGGGGTTGAGGGTATCATGTTCCATTGATTTTCTAGTCAAAAAGCATCAGAAACAATTCCAGATTTGCTCACTCTCCCTCCCTCAATCACAACTTTCTGGTCTTCCAAACTTCTATCCAGCTCTTTTCCCCAACCCCCAGAGAGGGAACAACTATGTACCATCATCATTTCCCCCCCAATAGTGACCTGTTTTTAAAAGCTCCTCCTGCTTACTGCCCTCTATTCATTTATCTGACTATACAAGACCTAAGGATTTTGTTTTCAATATATATTTACCATATTCTACAGCATATCTGAATTGAGTCAAAATGTTTGGAGCCTGATCCAATCGTTAGGAAGAGGAGATCTCAGGTTTAGTTTTAAACATTACTTTCTGCTTTCTTTTTATGTTTGGATGAACAATGATTTTGAGGGTCAGATTTTGATGTATAGGATCAATATACAGGTTGGATTAAAAAGTTAATTTATTGTAATATTTATAAGCACAATTAGATTTCAATTAAATAAAAAACATTTAAAAAAACTAAAAAAGAAGTTAAAAAAAATTTAATTCAAATATAACAAAATATTATAGTGGAGTGTGGGGGGGAGGGGGGAGTTTTTTTTTGTTTTTTTTATCTTGACACTGCTATTATTTTAACTACCTTCACTCCTCAGCAATGTTTACCATTTTAAAAAATGATGATTAGAATTGTAATAAAACCTAAGCATAATGAAAGGGAATCTATACATCTTTTTGTTCTTGAGTATTTACAACAAAATATCGAACACTATTTATTAGATTGTTTATTTACAAGAATAATTTTATATTTACAACAGTTTAAAAAATTACTACAATTAAAACTAATGCAATGCAATATTTATTATTTACCAATTTATAAAGAAATAAATGTGAACTATAAGGAAATGCTTTTATTATTTAATGTTTTAATCAATTACAGCTGAAATTTTGTTAAATATTCCAATAAGTAATCTAATAATGTTTATTATTTTTGTGGTCAATTCTCAGAAACAAGGAAACGTATAAATTCATTTTCATATGTTTAGGTTTTATTCCAATTCTAATCATCAGTAAACATTGCGAAAGTGTAAATGAAGGTCATTAAAATAGTAGTAGTGTCAAGGGAAAAGCGGACAGATCATTGGGGGGGGGGTGAAACGAAAATAAAAGATTGCCAACATTTTTTCCCCTCATTTGATATAGTGACACCCTGTAAAAGTGACAAGTAGAAAATAGAACTTCATAATTTTTTTTTTTTTTTTTTTTAATCATTTCACCCCAAGCAAGGCAATAAAGCCAGTAGGACGCAAGGGGTCAGTGAATGTTAGAGAATATGAGAAAAACTACTAATAAGGAGAGAGGAAAATAAAACAATAAGAATTAAGAAGGCAGATGTTAATGATTGACATTGGATTTAAATTTTTGAAGATCACTGTTGACTGGGAAGTGTGTGTGTGGGGGGGTGTAAATAGTTAAATTACACACAGTATTTTGGAATTGGTTTTATTATTTGTGATGCATCAATACAGGACAAAGCAGCAAAAAATTAAAACAGTTCAAATGTCATCTAATATACTGTTGAGTTTCAAATAAACAGGCCAGAACGATTATTATTTTTTTTTGAGAATAAATCCACCCTGGACATCTTTATTCCAATCATCACTTTTAGTATTCAGAAAATTCCATTAAATTCCTTAATTTAGGCTGTGATCATTCTACAACAAAGTTTAATTAATGAGAATTATTTTTTTTAAAATAAAATATTCCAGCTCTCCCTTTTATTCCAATCTTTTACTATGTATTTGAAAACTAACATATATTAATTTTATATAGCTTCTTAAGCAGACATAAGTACTTTTCTTCCTGCTACCGTTTTCTCAGTGAGGTCTGTGTACACACACACAACTGGAAAGTCATGAAGAAACCTGATCTTAGACTAAAATAAAAAATGGAAGATTTTCATTTTTAGCCATATACTTGTAAAATCCACCAAATACCAATGTGCTTTGAGCAACTAACATCTTCCAAATATATCATCCAATAAAAAGATGACTTGGTAGGACTTTCATAAAAATGATATTTGAGAGATGGAGAATGGATTTCAAATCAATCTCCATTTGACATCTTTAATGATTGGGAAATATTTATGAACAAAGTGTACGTCCGTAAATTATAAAGGATTTAATCATAATATAAAAAAACTATTTTATTTGTGCATAGTGGAGAGAGAGAGAGGTCAGAGAGAGAGAGAGAGAGGTCAGAGAGAGAGAGAGAGAGGTCAGAGAGAGAGAGAGAGGAAGAGAGAGAGAGAGAGGAAGAGAGAGAGAGGAAGAGAGAGAGAGGAAGGAGAGAGAGAGAGAGAAGAGAAATAAAGAGAGAGAGAGAGGAAGAGAAATAAATTGGGGAGAGAGAGAGGAAGAAATAAATTGGGGAGAGAGAGAGGAAGAGAAATAAATTGGGAGAGAGAGAGAGGAAGAGAAATAAATTGGGGAGAGAGAGAGGAAGAGAAATAAATTGGGAGAGAGAGAGAGGAAGAGAAATAAATTGGGGGAGAGAGAGGAAGAGAAATAAATTGGGGAGAGAGAGAGGAAGAGAAATAAATTGGGGAGAGAGAGAGAGGAAGAGAAATAAATTGGGGAGAGAGAGAGAGGAAGAGAAATAAATTGGGGAGAGAGAGAGAGGAAGAGAAATAAATTGGGGAGAGAGAGAGAGAGGAAGAGAAATAAATTGGGGAGAGAGAGGGGAAGAAAAAGAAGAGAGAGAGAGAGAAAGAGAGAGAGTTGAGATATAGATTGCCAACCAATGAAGCAAGCAAGCTATTATTACCATTACTACTATAACTATGACCTAGGTCACTACAGGTTTATTTTTGGTGTTTTTTTGTTTGTTTGTTTTTTTTTTTATAAAAAGACCCTTTTGTTTTTTCAAGCTTTTATTTTCTTTTTTCAAGAAGCAAATATCCTTTCTGCCAACAGATTTCATTTTCCAAACATGGCTTATTTAACAATGCTCAAACAGATTAGCAGTTTCCATAAAACATCCAGTTTAAGGTAAGCTCATGGTGGGCCACTTATTCTGCTTGTCTGTGTAGTTGTGATCCGTTCCTACTTTCCAGAGAGAGAGAGAGAGAGGGGGGGTGCAAAGAAGTCTGAGGATATTGGTAGAAGTGGAAGCAGGGTACAAGTTGAATGGGGGTGAGAAAAGTTTGTCCTCTTTTTTTCCTCTCTCTTAACATGTGTAAGCAGTATGTTAAAAAAAAAAGTAAAGGATAAAAAAAAAGAGAGAGAGAGAGAGAAAGGTACAACAAAAATACTTGTTTTTTTTTCCTCCTTTAAAAAACAAAAAAAAAAAAAACTAAGAGAAATCATAGAAGTAAGGGTGGCCTAGCAGCCGAATCAGGAAGACTGAATTGCAGATTCAGTTGGAAACAGTTTACATCCACTCTACTTCTGGGAAAGGCATGAATTCACCCCTCCCTGTAGTCATAGGTAAATAGCAGAGCACTTTGGGTGCTTTAAATTTTTTAAATGTGCTATCCATCTTGGATAGGTCAGGGATCAATCCTGGCTGCTGGTATCATGTAACCCAATACAACCTGTTGCCTGTTACTTAGAAAGACTGGGTCCCATGAAGTTGACCTCATTTTTCTGTAAGATACCATGAAGAGAAACTATTTGGTATGCCACTGGAATAACTAATATAAATTAATTAATGGGAAATGCTAGATACAGTGGGTAGACATTAAACTCTTTTGAATAAACAGTTTTGTTAGGTAAAAGGCCATATATGTAGACACCCAGTGAGGATGAAATTTGCTACAATAAGTTACCAGGTGAGCTTGTCTGACATTACACAATCTTTGAACAGCAAACATTTGAAGTGTAAGAAACTGACTTGAAGATTGCAGACATCAACTTGGACAAGATTTTAAGTGAAAATTTGTAATTATTATTAAAAAATAAAATAAAAACTTAGGTAAATTTATAGCAACTATAAAAGCAATCTGATCTGACCATTTTCAATCATGAAAGATGGTCACAATTTACAGAAATTATACATTTTATCAAAGAGCACCATTTTCTTGAATGATGAAATAATAAAAAAAAGAAAAAAAAAAGAAAAAAATGAGGGGGGCTTTGCAGAAACACTAAAAAGGTAAATTTGCTGTGTACACATCCTCACCCGCATACAGATCAAAAGATGAATTCTTTTCATTAAGTCATATTAGGTCAGGATCTTTTCTTTTGACCGAGATTTTCACACAAGCTACTTTTAATATTAAAAAAAAAAAAAAAAATTATTCTTAAATCATCACCAAGTGTAGAATATTTTTGCTAATTATTCTGTTTTTACACATTATCATCACAAATGATTAATCCTTAAATTTTTATGGGAAACATAAACCCCCACCTAAATGCATTGGCCAGATCTGGTGGGTCAAATAATGTGTGTTTACAACTGAATCCAATAAAAGGCCATCGGGGGGGTTGTGATCATTTACTGGCAGAGGATTAAATTTTGATACTGTAACAATCAGGCATAAGAAAAAATAAACTTATGAATGCCTACAAGAATATGTGGATTTTTCTTGATGGATGACCAGGATGATGGGGCTTAGATGAACTTAGTTTTGATAATCATTTGGACCGACTAGAAGGACAAATGAATGTATTATTGATATAAATATACATTTTGGACTTTTTTGCAATTTTATTCTGGTTTCTAAAGAAAAGTGTATAACAGTATTTAAGAATGGAAATGCATTTACAATATCTTCTATGTGTCAAGTCCCTGCAGGACATGGGCAATCATGGCTCTCCAAAAATCCCTGTCCTTTGTAACTTAATAAGTTTTGTCTTTTTGCTATCTCTCCTAATCCCTGTTCTGACAACCATTTAAACAAGCTCATTAGGCAGGGGTTATGCACTGCTTTCCTGTCTCTTGCCTTCAATATGTCCTGTGAGTATCAAATTTTCCAAGTGCTCTTTCCTCAATCGAGAAATTGTCTCTTTCTTTATTTGAAACATAAGTGTTCTTCTTGTTTCCATTTCCCCTAAAACTTTGTCATTGCTAACCCAAATATAAAGTTACAAGAATATATATGGCAGAGAGCACATAACTTATATATGTAGAGAGATGACAAAGTTTCTGTTACCTTAAAACCTGAGAGAATTTAGAAAAAAAAAAAAAGTCAAGTAAGAATTAAGGCATGAAATGGATTCTACAAAAAAAAAAAAAAAAAAAAAAAAAAAAAAAAAAAAAAAATAAAAAATTAAAGTTTACATATTTTCTCGAGTGATTTCAAGAATAATAGTCAATATACGAGAATCCAAACTTATGGATGGTATTTTGCTAATAAGTGAAGGAAGTATTTACCTCTTTTCTGTTATATGGATTTATTTCTAAAAGTAACAATTACAGTTTGTAACTGTTCAGTGTAACACTAGAATTTCTTTTTCTTAATATATGACAACATATTTGTGTGCTTTTAAAAAGTATCTTCCCAAGACATTTTTTTCTAAAAAAAAAACTTTTTTTTTTTTTTACTGATGAATTTCATGTATCTCACCTTTGCATAACTCATTACATTGGACGACATATGAAAGAACTATTTCAAATATGATTATAACCAAATGTAACCCAAATTTTGGCCCTTTCTTTTTTTTTTTTTTTTGGACAGATACTTCAACTAGTGTGTAGCTATTTACAGTCACTAGTTATGACAAGACTGAAAATAGAGATGCAGGCCAGATATAAAATTAGTGTTCCATTTGGCAATATTAGTGCCATTTTAAATGAAGACTTAATTTCAAACTGACATTAATTAACCTTTCCAGGTGTCATTCATTGTAGAGGTGGGAGGAGATCTTCCTTACCTGTAACTTCCAATCCTGGTGATGAGCTTTTTGAATTGGGCCAATGTGACCACTTTGCCTGGCAGTGTATGCCTGTATGGGATGGGTTCTCCGCAGAAAAAATACCCTATCACAGTCTCCTCTGGTCCCCCTGGGGTTGCCGGCACAGTCGAACTACCTGAAGGCCTCTTGGATGATTTTCGGCTGGAAAAATAGAGAGATTGACATTGAGGGTAAGAAATTCCTTCATCTGGATTATTTCAAAAGTTGTTGGGTTGTTAATATTGGACAAGGGGATAGCAGAAAATCAGTTTTTTTTTTTAATTAAAAAAAAAAAAATTTAAAATACAGCATTAATTTTTAACATGTTCACCATTTTGAAAGAAAAATTAATACAATTTTGAAGTTTAACATTCTTCAAAAATTTTATTTTGAAGACTGAGCTTTTTATGATAAAATAAAAAACTGGATCTATGTGAGACTTTAAATGAAGTGTTTAAGTTGATAATAAATAGAAAAGATCTGCATCACTGAAAGTATAAAATACAACTAAGACAAAGTCAATAATTATACATATTACAATCGTATTCTGTTTTTTGTTTAGATTTTAAATAAGCCTGCCTCTTTATAAAACAGAAACATGAAACCAAATACAAGAGAGCAAAATATATTCAAAACACAAAATATTCAGTTATGGCTGGAAAAAGGAAAATATTTTCAGCTAGAAAAAGAAAAGAGATTAGCACTGAAGTTAGGAAATTAGTTTCAAATAAGCAAGATGACCTGGAATTGTCTGGGTTATTTCAAAAGTTGTTGGACAATTAGGATTGGCTTGGGTGACTGTAAAAACAAAGACTGCTTTTAAATTTTGAAATAGCTTCCCTTCTTTATACAATAAAAAAAGTATCAGATAAAAGCAAATTTAATTAAAATACAACATTAACTCTCAATGTGTCCACCATTTTGAAAGAAAGATTAATACATTCTTGAACAGTATGATTTCAATGATTTAGACAGAAACTACACTCTAATCATAGGCAGAAGTAGTGATCCATATATAAATGATCATGTTTTTTATGGATACTATCTTAATTTGTTTAAAAATTACTACTTGTGAGATGATAGTTCTATTAACAGCTTGTATTAAAATAATTATCCTTGCTTAGTATTCATATTTCATCTTTCAACTCAAAATTTCATCATCAAAGCAGGAAATAAGAAAAGAGATTTAGAAACTGAACTTAGATTCCAACCGACACATTAGTCACTCAAGTTGACTAAAATGCAAATTGTCTGGAATATCAGAGACAAAGACACAGGCAATTGGGAAAATTAAAAGCATATCTAACAAAAGCAGAATACACATTTTTTTAAACAAAGTTACTGAGAAATAAAATTTCATCAAGCATTCTTGGTCAGCAGAAAAAAAGAAAAAAAAAAGACTTGATGTTTCCATTTTCTCAGTCATGAAACTTGTTTTATAGAATTTTTTATCATTTTATATTAAAAATATAAACTAATAGAAAAATGTGAATAAATATTGGGAATGAGACAAAAAGGTATTTGCTTATTTTAAAACTTTCTTTCAAAATTCAATCTTCATAATTATGAATGCATTTTGAAGTTATATTATTTTCTAATTTTAGTTTATTTTTTTAAAATTGTCATGGTTAGAAAAGAAAATCTGAAAGTGACATAATGTGGGCAAAATATATCAAATATTACTGGAGCTTCATTCACTATGTTCTCTGGTTGTCTCAGTTCAAAATTAATGAAAATTTCAAAGTTTCTAAAAATCATTCAGTGCAACAAACACATGAAGAACCCACTAGTCAAAAAAAAAAAAAAAAAAATCACCATAAAAGAAATAGTTATTCTCACTAAAATTAGGAAGTTTATAAATCCTTTTGGCAACTCAAGAACAGGACAGATATCTTTTTTCCTTCTAAAAAGACAACAATTTGCATTAATTACAAATTACATGAACTCAGTTTTCCTTAATTCTTGGAGAGTCATATCTTCATCTTATTTTTTGACACAAATTTATGAATAATCTGATTAAAGTCAAAATATAAAAAATGCTTGTATTTTCATGGACAATTTTACAGCCAATTCAATCATGAAAGCCTAAGACCAGACACAAATCAGTCATACTATTCCAAATCTTGTTTTTTCTACATTGCAATAGTGGCAAGACTAAACTTATTCAATTTCCGAGATGAATTATTCTTACTGTTGAGTTTCAACTAGTAATTTTTTAAATCATCTCATAAATTTATTTTTATTTACTTTGTTGTTTTTTTTTTTCTTCTTTTACCTGAAAATTTGTGTTAAAGCAAAATTCTAAATTCAACTTGTGATGCATTCTTCAAAGAAGTTTTTTATGTTAACACCCAGCAATATTTTAATGATTTGTCTGTTGAATAGGATTCTGAACAAATTAAAATAGACACTATTAAAATCTCTTAAGTTGTAACAACTGAATCTCAAATCAGGAAGTCCTCAAGTCTGATGTTCTACCATCAATCCATTCTTTTGACAAAAAGTAAATACACATTTAACATGGAATATACATCCTCCTCCAACCACAGAAAAAGGGGAGAAAGTTAAAAAGGCAGAGGAAAAAAGGAGAAGAAAAAAAAGAAGGTTAAAACAAACATCTAAATCTGATACATAAAAGTTTAAGTTTAATCTTGCATGCTAACATTCATCCAGACAAAGAGTACCTGTACCAAGTTTAACTCCATAATACTGTAATATTAAATGCAAATGTTTGCGGGATGGGGGGTGGGAATTCTATGCCATCAAATACGGTACATTGTGCACACCAGTGTGTATGTCCTGTGGGTGACTTACCCTTCTGAATGTCCCATATTTTCCCCAGATAGGTCCAAGTCTGAGGGAACAGTTTTTGTGGTTGGTAATGTCCGCATCTGACATGCAGCAGCACCAGCACCAGCTTGGGATGATGACACCCTTTTCTCCCTGCAAGGCACTCCTATGAAAGACCTGTCAATAAAATACACACACATACATACACACACTTTAGCAGCAAGTATGTAAATGACAGCATCTTCTAATGGAACATTTAAGTTTACATGATCCAAGAATTTCTATGAAAGAAGGGATTGTTTTCTTTTCCATGAATTTATATAATTAATAAGATATTGATTTGTATTTTATCACTAATCTTACACCATCTCAGTATTATTGCTTTTCTTATTTTAAAGCCGCACAGATAATTTGAATAAATGACGTCAAATCAGAAATATAGAAGCCTATCCCAATACGACTAACTTGTGTACTTCACTTTGAGAACCTGTTTTTGCTTGATATCAAATACACGACTTTGGCCATGTAAGTGCTGATTAAGCAAAGCAGCAATTACAACAGAAGCTAGAACTTTAAGACTGACTTTGTACTTTTAACTAACAGTCAAAGAGTTGTTGATCCAGTGTCGAGATAAAAAGGCAATAATCATCATCAATCCCACTACTAGGTGTGGTCAGAGTGTTGGTGTACAGCTAAACAGTTGACAAGTTACCTCTACATATCTGGCTTGAAATCTGGAGAGATATTCATGTATAGGGTGTCTTGGGGGGCGGGGGGGTACTAGGTTAAACCACAGATTGCCATTTCCAAGTGTTCAGACAAATTACATTCCTTAGTAGTTCTAACCTTCGCAACTAAAACCTGCTATAAGCCATTCCTCACCTGGTCAAACCACAGATTGCTATTTTCATGGAAAGTGTTCAGACGAACTACATTCCTTAGTTCTATCATTCATGGCTAAGACCTGCCATGTCAGGTACATTGTAGCAAACTACCCTCATCACTTTTGTATTTCATTGACAAGTTCACCTTGAGCAAGCCCCTCTTCACTTTGTGGAAGCAACTCCCAAGAGGATGCGTCCCTAAACACTACAACCTTAATCTTTTCAAGTCTACTGTTAAATGTTATCTTCCCCATATATCCTCATAAAGAGTGCCTGTTATCCTCTACCTCAACTGGCTCTTGGGCCTTGTTCAGAATGATTGTAATAAAAAATTTTTTTTTTAAAAAATAAGAAAGTGCTGGAAAAGAATTAATTGTAAGAAAGAAAAAGAATAGATGGTTTTCAGTGAGAGAGAAAGACATTCTCGAATTGGCGAAGTTACAATAAAAAAAAAAAACATAAAAAACATGTCTTTCAACTTAAAGGCTTCCCTTGGTCATGGACACAAATTTCATCAGGAGAACCTTCTACCATTGGCCATTGTCTTCAGTCTATGAAACCTACTCAGTAATGCGATGTCATCAAAGCACTAGCTATACATTCATAGCTATGGAACCCAATCTACCCCCATGTGCCAGATGGCCATTGAACCTACAAGAAGGTTCTGACAGCAACAATAAGATGAAGTAAATCTAGTAATAAAATAATAGTAATAAAGAGTTTATCGACCAAGAGTGTTGGGATAAAAAGAAACAATATGATGGAGAAAAACTTTATAAGTTTCAATAGATTTTACTTTATTGAATCCTATTCATGAGATCATGGGTTATATAAACATTGTGTCTATAAGAATTGGTGTACAAATCTTCAGGTTTTGCACTTACTTTGATTTGACAGGTAAGGGTCGTGCCTGCTGTTCCTCAGGTCGTCTCTTCCCCTCATTGTTCTCCAACCGCCTCTTGGCCTCTTCTAACTGGGTGGTGGGGTTAGGTGGTGTCAGCAGTGGCATTGATGGGTCTTGGACAATTGGTTGCGAAGGCATTACCTGGTTGTTTCCGCTGCCACCAGAACCAGCCAGCCAGGGAAACGGGGTCATGGCACCACGTTCTGCTGATGCTGACCGATTTAGTATGCTTGGTTTTTTACTTATCCTGAAACAAACAAAACATGCAAAAAAAAAAAAAAAAAAAAAAAAATTAAAAATTGGTTAATATTTTCCATAAATGAGATAATATGCATACAAAAATGAATATGTAAGGAGGGGGAGGGTGCTGAAAAGACATCAGACTAAGGAAGTGAAGTGAGGTCTGACATTTGGACAGATGTGGGAAAATGGGCTTGGCTTAATACTTTTCAGCACACTATCATATAGAAAACAATTTTGAAGAGACCTATTTCAACATACTTTTCAAATACACTATCATCACAAACAAAATTTTATTTCAATAAAATCAATAAATTAGTGAGACAAAACAAAGAATCTTACAGTCAATAAAGCCAGTAAGTTGCAAGAGGTTACTAAGTGTGATAGAATATGAGAAAAAGAACACAATTATTAAGTAGAATAATAAAAGAACAGGAATTAAGACAGAATGACTGACACAAGTTGACTTGAAAACAAGAAACCAAAACAGCGTTCCACAAGCAAGAAGTGCAATAAAAGAAACTTTTAGCATAGAACTTATTATGACTACATCTAGCTGCGATTCTCAACTGTAAAATGATGAGATCTTGTTACCAATCTAGTACTGCACTCAAATTCATAAAGTCTAGGTACCATAGAGAAAAGGTCATCAGAATAATTACCATGAAAATGTTTATAGAAAAGGCACAAAGAAAGCTGCCAGGTCAGGACCAAGAACATTGCAAATTCTTTGAATTTTTATCAATTTAACTTTTATGCTTGTTCTTTAGCATTAGTGTATTGTTAAGGAAATTTATAAATAATTTCAACAGGAAAAATTTCATTTCTATAAACAAAGTTAAAACAAAAATAAAGTGCTCATATGATGCGATAAATTGCTAATAGATCAAGACAAAAAAATAAGTAAATGTTAAAAGCGAAATGGATAATATCGGACTGTTGTCTTCATCTTTATTTCAATATTCACAACTTTTCAGCCTTTGTACAATCTGTCCATCATCAGGGGATATTTCAAACCAAACCCAGGGTAGATTGTTCTAATTCCACATGCCATGCAAACAAATATTACATGAAGAAGGCCAGAACATACAACGTCCGAAACATTGCAAATATGGCAATAAATATGAAGACAACAGTTTGAACAATGTAAATTGTGTAAATAGTTACAATATGTCATCTCAGAACTATAGGCAGATGGAGAAATAAAGAAATTTACTTACCCTTGTTTTTGAAGTTGAGGAGAAGCAGTTACAGACACTGGAGTCTTGTAGGTATGTGACCGCTTATTTGAAGAACTTTTATCAGAGTCAGCATGGGATGCGCTACTTGTGTACCTATCACTGGCCATAATCCATTGCAATACTCTACAAGGAATCAAAACAACAAATCATTAAATTAGATTTCTATATATATATATATATATATATATATATATATATATATATATATATATATAGTGATTGAAAAGAAAGTCCCTATTTTATGTATCATCAAATCTCCTGTCTAACTATAATAATTACAAGACAGGTGAGTCCATTATACATAAAATAGGGAGTTACTTTTCAACCACCCTGTAGATCACAGTAAATACCAAGTTATTGATTGATTGATAATCTTCAGCTTATCAACATTTATGGATTATTTAAAGCCAAAACATATTTAAGACTGGAAAATATTTCTTTCTTTTTGCAAGTGAACCAATAACTTTTAAGACTAACAAAGATTTTCCCTGGACACAAGCTCTACTATTTAACCCATATCTAGGGGATGAGATGGATTCATTTTCCCCTAGGGTAATTGTGCATAAGCAAATGCAACAAACCAGGCTGGAATTTGAACTTGGCTCTTCAATATCCCATCCCATGCTGCTACCCATTACACAACCTGCACACCCACCCATGTTATTGAGCAGTCTTTAAATAGTTCTGGTTTGTCACAATCCATATACCCAGATGCTTGTAAAAGCCATCAGATACAAAATGCATAAATATAACAATGTACATATTACAATCTTTTTAATTCAAATTGAAAATGATTATCTCCAGTAATTCCACAACACAACTTGGAGCACACTCTCAAAGTAAAAAACATTTTGGCACATTTTGCAGGGGGGGGGGGAGAGAGAGAGAGAGAGAGAGAGAAATATTTAAAAGAAACATTTAAATATTTTAGCTTATAAAAATATTTGTAACACATGACAGAATGTGTGAAACAAAAATTCAAAAGGTGAATTGTGATAGGAAAAAGTGCCTTTCAAAAGCTAAACAAAGAATTAAGAAACAGGAAAGTTTTGTTAGAAAGAAAGAAAAGAGGGCTGAACTGTTTCAATATAGCAGTTAATACTTAGACAAACTCACAAAAACAGATTTCAGGCAACAGTAATGTGAGTCTACAGTAGGATGCTAAGAATAATACCATGGATAGAATATGTAAGCAGCAAAGAAATTTTAAGGAAAATATAAGCGAAAGGGAGGCTTATACTTAGCATCTAGAATGCATAATGAGGAAAGTGTGCTTGGAAAATTTGACACAAGACATACTGAAGGCGTAAGAGACAGAAGAAGGCAGTAAGTAACTTAACTAATGAGCTTTTATGTAACTAGACAGCAGAAAAGAGATTGTGTGAAATAGTAAAGGGAGACAAACATTATTTAGAGTAACAAACGATAAGAAGTCATAGAGAACTAGGATTCTACACATCCTCAAAAAACATTATATATATAAAGAAAATTCCAATTCATATAAATATAAACTGGAAAACTGAATGAAAATGCTTGAAGCAGTTTCAACTTTCTTCTATGTACCATGTTCTTTCAAGACATTGGATAATCTTGAATATGCGGATGGTGTAATGAATAACAGCTTGGAATTAGAAATCAGAGAGCCGAGTTCTAATTCTAGTCAAGTTGATTATATTCACTTTACATAGAAATACTCTTCAGAAAAGTATGAAGACACCTCTCTTCAGCTATGGGTTAAATCCTTATCTTCAAAAAAATCTCACAATCGAAAAATATTATCTGGCTTTAAATAACCTGTAAAAAGTTGATAAGCCATAAAAAACAATCATTTAAATGCATGATCACTGGGCATAGTAGATAATTTTTTTCCTTTGTGTACATAACATCTGATAACAAACCAGTATGCCTTATTGCTTAGTTTGAGAACCAGTGAATTTGCCTGGTGTTATCATTCATTATCTTTAATGTCAAATAAGGGACAGGTTGATACAGAAAGTGAAAACAGTGAGCCAAATTCAAATTTACACCTAATTTGTTGCATGCACTAATGAAAAGCATAACTCCATCTCTACTTCTGTCTATGGGTTAAATAGCAGGGTAGACTGGGCTCTCTAGCCATGGGTGGCAGCTAGTCTAAATGACGATAAAACTCTGAATTCAAGATAAGTAATAAGGAACAGTATTATTTTCTTTCTTCCTCTGTCCATAAAAATTGCCCATTGAGTAATGTTTAGAAACCAAATATTTCAGTATAACAATTTTAAAGATTATAAAGAATAATTAAAATGAGTTGGGGGTGGGGTGGGGTGGGGGATGATGTCATGAGATGGGGGGGTATATAGTTTGCATTCTTATCTTTGTTTTTACCAGATGCAAATATTGACAATTGTAAATTTTGTAGACTGAGAAAGCAGAGAGGGAAGAGTGAGTGATAGGAGCAGGAGAGAGGGAGGGTAAGAACAAAAGAGAGAGAGAGAGAGAGAGTAATCAAGAGAGACAAAAAAGAGTAATGAGTGACTTTGAAATATTTAACATTCTCTCCATAACAGAAATGTTCACTCCTAGATTATTAATAATCAAATCATTTTATTCCAAGAACATTTTCTCTATTTTAAACAATTACTTCTTAATTCTAGTTCTGGCACAAGGCTGTTATTTTGCAGTAAGTAGGATCCATCGCCAGTACAGACATAATATGCAGAACTTTGAAGCATGTGATAAATCTTCTGATAACCAGTCTGCTGCTCTATCCTTAAAAGCTGTTAAAAAAATGTCATTAAGTTTGAAGTTTTCCATAAAGGTAAGTACTTTCTGAGATGTAAATACTTTAGACACAGGTAAGCAGGTGAATAATCTAAGAAATATAAAGGTTCCTGAGTACATTGTCTGTCATCCTTGCATTCACAAGATGATGTGGGGCAGTAAGAGAGGGACACGTGTTAGGGGTGTTCATTACTCACAGGTAAGACAAATAAACTTGTAAAGTGCTTTTAACACCCCCACCTATACCAACCTTACTCAAAATAGTTAATAAATACTTTTGCTGAGAGACAGTGAGAAGGATGGAGAGAGAGAGAGAGAGAGACTCTGTGTGTGTGTGTGTGTGTGTGTAAGGCAACAAAGACATAGAAAAAGATAAACTATGGCAAAGAGTGAAAGAAAGAAAACACACACACACACATATATATATATATATATATATATATATATATGACAGAGTGGAAAAAGTTTTTTTGTGACGCATTTCATCCCTTAGGACTTCGTATGTTTATATTGATGCGACAACCCATGGGCACATACGAGGGGCACATACGAGAGACACTGAGTATTTTAAATTTAGAAAAGAAAATAAATTAAAAAAAAAATTCCCAGTGTTTCTCATACATGTACATATGTAGTTGCAGCAACATAAACAAACTTAGTCTGATGAAGTCCTAAGGGCCGAAACATATCATACTAAAACCTTTTCTACTTTGTCATACTTCTTTCCTTTAGAGGTCTCAATATATAAATCCCTCACTGAAAATTTGTTTCCCTTTGATTTAAATTAAATTTAAATTTGAACAAGGGAATGACTCCTATCCAAAATATAGGAGAAAACCAGAAGATGGAGGTCACATCAGCAAAATCATTGAATAATATTGAAATGCATCATTTTTCTCCACAAATTATAACAAGGATTTGAAATCAATCATTATTTCCTTATAAAAAAGAATATAAAAAAGTGATATGCTGCAAGGTGCACTTAATTCAGCTAGTGTGTGTGTCTACATATATGAGAGAGACATACAAATAAAGTTGAAATGATTAGAACAATTCCAAGAAATGCTATCAATCTTATTAATTCTATTTATCCAGGTGTTTATGTCAAAACTATACATAAAAAAAAACAAAAAACAATTAATTATCAATAAACATCACAATTTGATATAATTTATCAAGGATATGTTTTATGTACTTGTTAAGAAAGTACATAAAAATAATTACCAAAACACTAATATAAAATTATGAAATAGTAATTCTCTGACCTTTATTTAATATATTGAGGAAAAGATCAGCTTTGTTCAAACACAAAGCAATAAATAATGAACCCCCACACATACACACACACACCTCACACAAAATCTGTGGCTGGAGAGATAACTAATAATATAAGAAGATAAACTCCCCGACCCCTTGCAAATAGATAAAGTAAAATTAAATACTTTAAGTGAAGTTAATCCTGACGTATCAAAATATTTCTTATTTATTTTCTATTTAGTAAATGCATTGTTTTTGTTGCATTTTCTCAGACTGAAAGCATTATCATGCAGTTGGTTTATCTGCATTGTTAGAACGATTGTAATCACGCAAGTATGAAATTCACCAAAACAAAGCAAATTTTATGGATTTTCAATAATTAAATGGAGATTTTATGCTTTTACACCAACTAAAGAAAATAATTATAATAAAACTGTTTCATCTTTTATTTGAGGGTAAAAAAGCACAGGAAATATGGAAAGTTATTTTTCTTATTAAACTTCATTAAGAAAGAAAGAACGTATAAATATTCTAACTATATATATATATATATATAAAAATTTTGTAAAATGAATATGAAAATGATAATAAATTTAATAGTTACTCCCTTCCACCAACAAAACGAAAAGAAAACATATCAAAACAAAGAAAGGCTTAGATAAACAAGAAGAAAAATAAAAACTGGAGAAATTCTTTTCTTCATCTAGCAGAAGGATTTAATCAAAAGAGACTTTGAAATATAATTTTTCATTATAGAAATCCTATTTGTTCTTGTCAACAATATTCATCCACAAAGATAAATCATATAATCTTTTTTCTTTTATGATGTGTGTGGGGGAAAAACGGGAGGGGGAGAAAAATGTTCTTTCTTATTTCTCTCTCTAGATGAAATATTTTTTGTTTAACTATATAATTCACTTTCCTCAAATCCTATTCAAAGGCTTATGGCTAAGAAAAGAAAGAAAGAAAGAAAGAAAGAAAACCCTTTTTAATCCATCCCCCCACCAACTGTATCAGACAAGTTTCCCACATACAATATCTGCCTCCCAAAACATCAGACCCCACATTATCTATGACCCATCCCACA